TTAAGCTAGGGCATATATGCATATATGCCATACAAATATCACATATATCAACATATGTGTTGATATCTCTCAAACTATGTTATTCAAGCATTGACGAAAAAGGTACCTGTCGGGACTAAAAACTAGAGAAATCTATGGAGGGCCTTTATATTTTAGAAATAAATAGTTTTCTTGTGAAACCAAGGGAAAGTGTGATACCAACAAACAAAAGTTTTTCAATCAGAGACCATTTCGACGCACAGTACCTCTTTTGTCTGACACACAGTTTAGGATTTGAGATGGTTTCTACCCATTTTTGGACCAAAAACCACTAATATATTTATGTTTTTACTAGAAACCACAAAGTTTAAGAATAATGAACTGTATGTATGTTTTAATATGCTTAAAGTATCTCTGATATAATGTATAATGGATTGCATAAATGTATACGTGCTATATATAGGCTATAAAATAGGTATATAATAACTTGGAAATTTTTTATGTTTACTTCTAATAAGTGAAGCCTAAGTGGACAAACTGCAAGCTATTTATACATACTTGTAAAATTTTAATCACGGACTATCTTTAACCATCTCGCTAACCACCTATGGTCCGCAGACCACCGGACTAGAGACTGGACTGAACTAGAAGCTAGAGAAATGTTTAGAAAGTCTGTGCATTTTCAAAATAAATAGTTTTCTTATGAAATAGAGAAAAATTGATGAAGGATTTTACTTATGTACCCAATATTCTCATAATATAGGGTTGCCAATTTTCTTGTTCTCGAAAATATATATGAATAATTGATACTTGTTATTGAGATCTTGCCTAAGTCTTGCTTTCTAGTGGAAATCACAACATTGAAATGGTCTTACTGGATCTTTTTCAGACAATTAATAAAACATCTCAGTACATAGCCAGCAATAGCTTAATCATAACGTAAAGAATGGTTATATTCAACAAGTTTGCAAATTTGAGGATGGTTCTCATAATCCTACAAAAAAATCAAAAAGTCAGAAAGTTTTTAACTGCATGGCTACTTCATATTATTTAAAAATAAAACTACAAGTCAGTCAATTTTCTTTCACAACAAAGGGAAAAGAGGACGCCGTGTCCCGTTGATCAAATCCATATTCTCAATTTTTTCTATTTTTTTTCTCAATTTTTCATCATGCCTTGCTATGATGGTATTTTGACAGTGATTAAGGGATTCTCAATGCCCTATGTGTGATATATCAATTAAGCGTAAAATCATTAAATAAAATTTAATGTGAATTATTATCATCTTGACGTTATTGTTCAACATATTTTTATCGCATTGCATCGCCTGACGGGTTAAGTTCTTGTGTGAGCTGAGTTTTTCAAGAAATAAATGTAATTCCATAATGTGTTCTGATATGTTAAACTTAATCACATTTAACGAAATTCGTTGAACAACAATCGCCCAATTCGGGATTCTTAGGATCAGGGAGATATGATCCTAAAGATCCGCTTAACATAAAATATGCGGCAAAAGGTTCTCTTTTTCACTCATGAGAGAAAGAAAACCCATCCATCGGTGTCTATTGATTATAACTTTTACAACTACATGTGCTTCGATATAGATTATTTATATATATATTATATTGATTATACTGCCTCTATAAGGCGTTAAACTGCCCTACATAAAAGGTTGCTACATATTCGGAGGTAGTGCCGTAAAATAAGATCAAATACTGTCCACGGATATTACGGATACATATAGGTAGTTTTGATACATATACTAACAGTGACAATATTCTAAGCCGGAAACATGTTGTAAAGATATTGTAAATCTGACCGTAATCGTTGTAGACTCTTTACATCTTCAAATTTCTGTATTGTTTTGATATAGACCCCTCAGATATGCTAGCCACAATCTCTTCGTAATGCACAAAATATACCTAGTTTAATACCTTCATATTTGTCATGGTTTAAAAATTTAATGGTTTTATAGGCGATCCTTATGACATATCTTAAACCAAGTATATGAAGTACTGGACCGCCAAATTTACTTAACATAGAATAGTGCTGAAACTAGAATAGTGCTGCCAAATCAGGACTATCTCTCTATATTAATATCTGAAAGGAAATGCTTTTAAGTTTATATATAAAAGTACATTCTTTTGCTTTGTTTTCAATAAATATTTTGAAATATGTGGTATTTTATGAAACTTAATAAAACAATTAGTTTATCCGCCAAATATTTATCGCATCTCAGATAAAAATTCATCAACAATTAGGCGTACGCAACCTACACAAATTCTTTGATTTACAAATTTACAAAGCGGCACCGACACCGACACCGACAGCGACAGAGGCAGAGGTAGCGGATTTGTAGCTGAGGAATTCCAAAAATTTCGTTGTTAATTTCGATTAAAATTGTTCTGGGCGCTTTGCCAAAACAAATGCATAATTAAAATATCTTTCCGTACTCAATTTTAATAAACTAAAAAATCTATGCTTCTCATCCTCACTGAGAATATCCGAATTCTGAGCATCGGATCGGCCGATTATTTTCGTCCGTGTGATTATTAATTATTTCGCAATTGCAGAGTGTATTGGCCTCTGCTTGGAATGTTTTGGGTGCTTGGATGCTTGGGTGCTTGGGTGCGAGGCGAGCACCCAATAATAAAATGTCAATTTCGGATGTTTCGCAAGAAGTTTTCCGAGATAAACAACAGATGCTTTTGTTTTGGTCGAATTAATACAACAAAAAAAAAAGAAAGATATGGAATAATAAAAGTTTATTATAATTGGGAACAATTAAAATAAAGATTTGTTTTGCAGGTGGGCATTGGAATTTTTGCTTATTGCGTTTTATTTACTATTGAATTTGGAAGAAAATGAAAAAAAAATTAATGTTATTTGGAAAAAAATAAAATAAATTGAAACATTTCTTTTGTTTATTATTTAATTGCTCCGATAACTCAAGAAAAGATACTAATTGGTTACGATTCTGATGTTTGTTTGTTGGCCTTGATGAAAGGTGAATAAATAAAAGAGGTTTTGTTTAAAAATTTTACTTATAGATTCAAGAAAACCATCCAATTATTCACAAATGTTTAAATCAATATGAAGTATTTAAAAATAATTTAATATTATTTATACAGATTAAAAATAACCATTGCGTAAACTTACAATTAGTAATAACTTATGAATAATAATTATTAATAATTAATTGCTAATTATATCATTAATAATTGGTTAATCAAAGTTCAATCATTTGCACCTTAGCATCTAAATTTTATGAATTATTCTGACTACTCATATTTTACCTCTATGGAACTTGATTCCTATCTTATCCTATCTTAATCAATGGTGCTAGTACAAGTTCATTTGCACCAGTTTTTTTCTTGAGGTTAGCTCCAAAAACCGGAAGAATGAAGTGGATTTGTTCCCAGAAAAGGCGCAAAAGAGCAAATCCTGAACGTCCGGCAAATAATAGATATGGCACGAGAATTTAACATTCCAATCTACTTTTGTTTTTTGGACTACACTAAAGCGTTACGTTAGGTGGGATCATTTATGGTTGAATTTAGGGGAGTTTGGTGTACCAAATCAACTGATCAACATAATAAAAAGTATTTATGATAACAATGAAGCGAAAGTGAGAGGCATCTAATGTGTTCAAAGCTGAAGCTGGCATTAAGCATGGCTGCATTTCTTCGCCAATATTGAATATTAAAAATCGGAAACGCGGCATATCTGTAGTGTGCGTTATGTGGACACACTTATTACAGGATTCAGTCAAAGTGAGCTCGTCCTATTGATGGAGAAATTGAGATAGTTGACAGATAAAATAACAACCAACCAAATGTAGCGACGATTGCAGGTTTCAAGGTAGGAGATAAATTTAACTACTTGGGATCCCTCTTAACTAACACTGGCGGCAACTCTAAAGAAATTAAACAACATATAACAATTGTAAGATTTGCAACAAAATAAACTTATAAAAATATAAAAAGATAGAACTATAAAAAAACTTAATATAGCTTCCTATGCAATCGAAATATAGACTATAAAAGTATTGGACAGATAGAAGATTGAGGAATTCGAACTGTGGTTCTATAGAAGACAGTTAAGAATTCTACGGACTGCTCACCAAACGTCTCTATACTCGAAGAATTAATGTAAAGACCAGCCTTATAAAAATGATTTTCAACTCATACTTAACCTACTTTGGCCACGTAGCGAGGTGATCAGGAACACTGAAACAACTGTTTGTAGAGGGAAAAGTAAGCAAAAGCAGACGACGAGGTCAGTTGCCTACACGTTGAGTGAATCAATTACAGCGTCTTCCTGCAGAAACGTTAAGTGAAGCTATACACACTGTAAAAGATCCAACAACATGGCGCACGGAAACAAAAAATATGGATTTATAATCCGCCACCTCGCAAATGATTGAGATGAAAGGAAGGCATGTTATGTTATTAGTTGCAGTAGTCTATTATGCAAATTGCGAAAAGATTTTTATTATTAATTTGTTGGAGTATTTTAAACTACAATTTAGAGATGTATTGTGCACTCCTCACGGTTTCGAAATATTTCTCCGAGCCCAATTTCTTAGATAAACTATACATATATATTTCTTTATCTCTTGTTCTTTTTCCAATATATGGAGCTTATATAAGTATTTCTTGTCTGTCAATCATAATAAACAGCTAACACTTGATATAATAATTTCTGTAGTCAGTTAATGAATTTCCATTTGCCTTTCTTTTTCCTATTATGATTGCTAGGCAAAGGTGTGTAAATTTATATTGTGTGTTTTTTAATCATAAATTTAAATTGTTATTTCTCAATTATTACAGATTTTTTAAGCAAAACTAGGACATAATTAAAGCTAGTAAAATATTTGTCGAGGGTTCTTATTATTTTGCAACACAATCTATAATAAAATTGGCGCAGTACAACCAATTCTCAGTCTAATGACTTAATACCATGAAAGACGATTAGCAGAAAAATCTTTAAAAGTAAAATTTTAAATATAATATATTTTAAATATTTATTGTTTTAAATCGTAATTCTTATTCTAATACAATTTTAACTATTTTCGCTGTTTAGATATTAAAATAGTCAATATCAACATATGTTGCATAGCACATCAAAAGTACTCGAATACATAAAATTTTACTGGAGATTGTTGAATCAAATAAATATATTTTTTTATATATAATTATATATCATATAACAAAAATAATTAATAATTAAATTTTTTATATTTTCACAAAATAATTCAAATATGGCAACCTTTTTTCTGAACTACGCTATTTCATAAACATTTATGTAGCATGCTTTTAGGATGCTCGATTGTACCTGTAATTTACTGACAAGTCGACTTACACTCTATATTATTAACTAAAAACGGTTGTATAAAACAACAAAATATTACAATAACAAACAGTATCATAATAATAACTGTAATAGTAATAAAAATTAAAATAAAGGTAATAATACATTGGCATTTTTTTTCTTAAATATAAAATTAGTATCATTTTAATTTGAGACGCCATAAAGGTTTCGCTCACAATGGTTTTCGTTATTCCTTCAGCTCGAGCGCTTCATTTGTATGACCATTCTTTTGTGCTTTCTGTTCTAATGCTGCCGCTCTTTGTTCTGGAGTCATAGCCCATTCTTGTAGTTCACCTGACGCCCAAATCCAATAAATAATGCAGCCGATGCAGTAAATACCAGCTGAGATAAAGAAGACAGCTTTCCATTCATCACTTGTACCATCAACAACAAGGTAACCAGTCAACATAGGACTGACAATACCAGGAACAGTAGCAATGGTATTACCAATACCCATAAGCAAACTGGCATGTTGTGGCGCTATATCCAAGTGATTTACACTGCAAGAGAAGATTTAACAGAATGCAATTTTATTCTAATGAAGCTTAAAAAGTAACACTGTTGTGACTTACGCAAATCCAGACCAGGCAAAAGCACCTAAGCCTACAGCAATGGTGATGCAAACAACCGACCAAGTTGGATCCAATAGGTAAGCTGTCAATACCATGAAAACAGTTTGTGCCAAGAATGCGCCACAGTTGAAATAGCGACGGACTTGGGTCGTAGTAAGAATACCCTTGACTTGCAACATATCGGCCAAGTAACCGGAAACACCCAAGAGGATACCCATAGCCAAATATGGTACCGCAGCAAGGAAACCAGTTTTGTCCAAATTGAATTCAAGTGTATCTGGAAAACAAAAATTATTATAATTTTTAATTTGACTATACAAAATACATTGAACTTATGACTTTACCTCTAAGGAAAGTAGGCAATTGCGTAAGTAAGGTATAGAAACCCCAATTTTCAGAGAAATGTGAAGCAATAATAGCATAAAACGGCAGTGAAGTGAATATAGCTCTCCAGGGATGTGTTACTTTTTGTTCACTAGTGTAGCCAATAGTTTTTTGTATATATTCACGTTCGTCTTGTGAGCAGAAACGATCTCTGTCAGGTCCAGAACGCACAATAATGAACCAAAGTATTAACCAAAGGCAACCAATGGTACCAAACACATAGAAGACGCTCTCCCAACCGTAAGCAGTGGCAAGTAAGCCTGACGCTGGCATAGCCACGACAGTGCCTGCATAGTTACCAGCAAATGCAATGGAAGCCATACGTGAACGCTCTAGTGGCGGTGACCAACGTGACCAGACGGCGTGTATGCAAGGGAAAGTCACACCTTCGAAGAAACCTTCAATTATACGAACAGCAATGAATGCATCCAAACTATGTTTCGCAGCCATCGGTGTGAATAGTGTCAATATAGCAGTGGCACCAATGCCTATGCCAAAAACCTGATGAAGTCAACAAAATATATTTGAAATTAATTATTCATTTTATGTTCAATTAATAGGACTTACAATGTTGCCACCTATTTTCGAACTAATAAAACCGCCCGCGAATTGTGTCAGTATATAGCCATAGAAGAATGAACTGAGTATAAGTCCTTTTTGCTTGGAGTCCCAAGGAAACTCAGGTCCGACCGTTTCCACACCATTGGCGTCAATTGTCGTGCGGTTCTCCGTCATTGCTACAATTGCCACACTCAAATTTACACGCATCGAGTAGACGTTGAAGAAACCAAAAAAGGCCAACAGCACTACGATGTACCGGCGTTTCCTCCAAAATCTCCATGACAGTGGTTCAGCTTCAGCAATTTCTTCACTGAAAGTAAGAAAATAAAAGTTCAAATTAATAAAGACAAAGAAATTTCAAAATTTGAATATGCAAAGTTGAAGTGAGGTAAGATGAGAGGAGATAAGTGTCTCTACGGTAGCAACGTTTGTTAGCGCCCATGCGCTTAATCAGCTGTGGCGTATGTTAGAGCAACGGCAAGGTTAACCGCATTGCGGTCGCCTGCAGCGTTTGAAATTATCACTACAACAACAATAACGAATTGAAAATGCGGTAACTTAAGTTACTTTCGCTTTCAACTTTTTTCTTGGCTGTGTCGGATTTGCTGTTGATTATTTGAGGTTGATTTGTGAGTTACTGTGGATTTGATGAGTTTAATTTTAATTTTAATTTATTTTCACATTATAATCTTTCTTTAGATAATGAATAACTTATACTCGTATCGCAGATAAATTTCAATAGATAATACTTTAACCAATTTACGGCTACGTATCACTTAATGGAATTGCATTGCAATCAGTGATATATTGATTTTTATTGTTATCATCACTTATTAAAGTTGTTCAAATTGATTGAAATTACAATAAATGGAAGGAAGGGAAAGTTAGATATTAGTTAGTTAAGTACTAGTACAATTCAATATACATCATATGTTGCTTATTATACTAATAACTTATAATTAGTTTGACTGATTTTAGAATTTGATGAATTGTTCGGGACTGTACATAAACCTACAATAAAACTATACACATAAAGTACACAAAGTGGGCCTTTGAACATCCAATAAGTCTTCTTGTCGCCTCTTATAATGATTGCTGGACTGCTTTAAAGCTTTTTACTATAATATTAATGCAAATAGGAAGCATCGACCTATTTCCTATTCCATCAAACATTAGCCGGTTGTGTCTGGGATTGAAATACTTATAAGAATTTGAATGATACTTATATTTTCCCCCGATTATTTAAAATATTTTGATAAATTTTTATTATTCACAAAATAAGAATATGTCTACTGACCAAATGAAACAACTAAAATCATATGCAAAGAAATTACGGCGAAGACAATATGACATACCTGGTATAAAAGACTTTGTGACATTCTATCAGAAAATAATGTATGTACAAAGAAAAAAAAATTTCTGGGTATCAACTTTTAGTAAAAAGAATGCAACCAATGTTTAAAAAATTTGATCTGTTTCATCTATCTTGTCACTCAATTTCTCCCAAAGTCTGTGTTTACCTAAAAGTCCATCTACATGTCTACCTATGTGTCTACTTATGTGCTTATTTATGAATTTACTTTCGTGCCTAACTGTGAGTCAACCTGTATATCTACGTATGTTTATACCTATGCGTTTACATATATGTCGACCTCCAAGTCCAGTTATGTGTCATTCTATCTTTTTTTTGTCTTTTTTTTAAACAGTACTCAAAAGCATCGCTCTATTAAGTGTGAAAGGGGAACCTCAACCGCACTAAAAATCATATCTTCTACGTCTAAATGGAAAATGGAACCACAATAAATTATTTAATCAAAGTGCTTGTTAGGTTGTACACGTTCGTCACTGTGCTCTGATGGAGAAGATCGCCTCACTTTAGGATTGCTCAATTGCTCTGGATCGTATAATGCCACGCAATTATTTCAGTTCTTTAGTGACTAAAACTTTTGACGGTTTACATACATCACAGGTGCGAATCATTTTTGCAGTTAGATTGTATGCAGAAGACTGCGGTAACGGGATCTCCAAAGGCATCGTTTATCATGTTTCTAGCGGAAATGAAACGAGTATACGTGAAGAGCATATGTCTAGAATATTCGATTTCTCTTATACAGGGACTTCGACATGAATTGCAAAAACGTTTAAAAACGCAAAAGATAGTACTCTTCTCTCTAGTTGTGATAGACGATATATGGATGCTGGTAGAGGCTCTTAATTAACTATTAAAATATATATATATCTATATATATATATATATCTATATATATATATATCTATATATATATATATCTATATATATATATATCTATATATATATATATATCTATATATATCTATATATCTCCTATACAGTTCGAGTAATAATACTCTTCATTGTAATTAAATGGGTGAAGATATCTAGGTAATAGCGTATCTTCACTCCAGAGTTAGGGAGTGAGCCCATCTACTTTTCTTGAAATTTTTGCATCTACGCTGTGCTTATAGCTTTACAATCGTTTGTGGGGGACATGACTGTATCTAGTTTCCTGAAATTCGATTATCAGGAGATCAAATGAATGAATAATCATTTACTTTTCAAGCTAATCGAATGATAGCTTGTACAACCTCCTTTTATTGTTAGTTCAAATCGGTAGTTGAGTTTGAGTAAGTTAAGTGAAGTAACTTAAGAAAGTTAAGTAAATTAAGAATGCTAAGTAACTAGTAAATTAAGTAAGTAAATAGGTTAATTAAGTCTTTTGAACCCATATAAAATAATTTTCTTAAGTAAGACTTATATAGTTGATTAAGAAAAAAATAAATTTATATCATAACTACGTGTAAAGTCTTTACTATCTGAGTGAAGATATAAAGAGATAACTCTTTCCCTGTATTCTTCCCTGTATTCCCTGTTTCCCTGTATTCTTGGTATTTCATTAATTGAATTCATTATTTTTAAAATTATATCTTACTTCTACAGTATATTTAAGATTTAATTGAATTTATTAAATGATTTATCTATTCAATTTACATATTTTAACCATAAGGTGGAGAAAGATATATTGATTAAACTTATAATTATTACATTAATTTAAATACTCAATTAACTAAATTAACTAAAATTTTCAAAATTTTAATTAAAAATTAATGAAAACTGATTTATTTTGTCTATGAATCTAGCAATTCACACTACATAAAAATTGTTTTCATTAAATCTTTCCATATGTTTAGCGATACTGTATCTATGAAATTTTTCTATGAAACTGTGTAAAATTGATTTACGCTAAAGAATTTCAATTTATCACAGAATTTACTTCCCCCGAGCGCCACTTCATGGATTTACGAGTAAATAACAAGAACTATAACGAGTCTTTCGAACTGTTGTCTTGGGATATTTAAATATACCTATCTTAGTATTGATAGAAAATCTGCATTTTGCATTTAATTATTCATTATAGTTTTATTATTTAATAAATATTATTTAATAGTGAATGTTTTAAGCTTTCCGGTTAAATAACTTTTGAAGTAGTTATTATATTTAATAATCATCGAGCATATGACATTAAGAAGTAAGTAACACAATATCAGTAATTATGCAAAAACACACCAATAGTGTAAGTTATAAGCAATTCCTTTCACAAGTTACTAACTAACTGGAATAGATTTTGTAATTAGATACAATGAAAGACCATACGCCACAATAAGTCGCTACAAGATACGAAAAGATAAAACAGTATCCGCGTACGGCTTACCCAAGCTTACCACTGAAGTCTTGTTTGTATATTTTTTCTAGTAAAACACCTGAAAAAATAGTACTCGAGAAACGTGTTCAGTTAATGGGTTAGATACTTTTGCAATTTATTAAACAATATACAGGTATTTAATACTAAAGAATAAGAGATCTGCGTTGAATCTTTATTGTTCCAATTTTCAAACAAAATATTGGATTTATTGCAAGTTATTTATTGGAATTTTCGCAATATAGTTTATACAATATATGTAATTATATTCTATTCAAATATTTTAAAAGCCTATTTAATATTTTTTATTGACCCAACAACTTACTAATGCAAAACAAAATATAATATTAAGATATAATGTTAATTAAAATGTTATATCTGATGACAATTGACTATGACAAAATAATTATAATAACAAATTTTTACTGTCCTATCCTGTACTGTCCTTCTAGTTGGAGGATGGAGCCTCCAATTAGGGATCTTAAAAACTTTTAGCATGTACTTACAATGGATTTCTAAAGTACATAAGTACAGAAGTGACAAGCCAGTCTCAAAACAAATCATTCGGTTGAGTGTGTTAAGCGGCAATCCACTTTCTCATATTAGAGAACTCCCCATATCTGTGCCGCATAGGAGATTATTGATCTTGCATTAGCTTCGTAGAGTTGAAATTTTGTTTTGAATGGTACATCTTTACTTACAAAAATATTTTTCCAGTTAATAGAGCAGTTAATAGCTCTTTTAGCTTCCCTCAATTTTTCAGTTAAATGTCTATTAAATGTAGTATTTTAATACACCCATGTTAAAGATATTTATATTCCTTAACTATTTCTATATAAATTTTTCTACTAATGTCAATATATCCTCATTTGTATATCGCCTGTGATGCTTTTTAAAGACTAGAGCTTTTGATTTCTCAATACTAACTGTTACCCCCATAGGTTTTAAGAACAGTAGTGAACTACAACAACAAAAATTCATTTTATATTATTTTTATTAATTGAATTTTTTGGCTATACATAGAGGTATTTCGAGTATTGTCAAATACCCATCATCAGTGGTCTTGGAAATAATTCTTGTATTTATTTATTCATAAATAATTTTTTGAGACTGCAAGTACGAGAAATCGAACTTGTGTCCTACCAAATTTGAAGCTCAGAGCCAGTGCACCAACTGATTTAAAGCCGTACTTGGCTTTTTATGTTCGTACATTTTTCTGGAGTTTTGATAATTAGCTGTGAAAGTTTTATTATATATTGGAACGAAATCATAAACCAGCTGTAGAATAATTGAATTAATTAATTATATTTTTATTTTTAATTATTAAATTTCAATACTATTCTGTTTGTAGAGGCATCTGTTGCTTGTTTTATATATAATATAGCTTATAACATAGTAACTGCGTAGCTTGTTCACCATATTTTGCAATCCAGACTTGCTAAAGGAACGATATCATCTGCTTATAAAAGAGTTTTATAAGTTTTTCCATCATTTATATTTGTGCCTCCAGATAGATGTGTTACCACATCGTCTATATAAAGTAAAAACACGTCTATATAGGAATCTGTCTGAGTACAATTTTTTTTTGACAATTTGTATATGTATTTGAATTTGATCTAGAACAAAACTGAAGACTAAGGATTTGAAAAACTTTAGTAAATTACAGGTAATTGATATTGTAGTAGTATATAGTATTTAGAGTAAGTATTTCGTATAAGTGTTTAGTTCATAAGCTTAGTAATTAGTTTATCATTGTAATATTACACATAAGAAAATGTACATGGCAACTCTAGTTTATCAAGTTCAACTGATGTGTATCATGAAAATTAAGGAGTCAGTATATTACTGACAACCGAAGAGGTGATGCGTTTTGTATTTAGAGTTGCTTGACTACAATATGTAATACAATTCAAATGTAAAAGCAGTCCTTTATTATGACTGCGAAGCATGGAAGCATTCCCAACAGGTAGAAAGGAACATACAAACATTTTTAAATAAATGCCTGCGAAAAATTCTAGAAATATGGTGACCTAACCACATATCAATTGCAAAACTTTTGTTCCAAACAAATCAAAAAGCTACTGTACCCGACTCTATCCGACGACCAAATAAATACATTCCACGACAAGCTTTGATATGGAACCCACAAGGCAATCAGACGCCCTGGTGCAGCGGCTTTAACTTGCAGAAGGACGGAAGCGCATTACACATGGAACGATATATGCAGAGAAGCACCTAACAGTGTGCGATTGAAGAGAATCGTTGCGTCTCTATGTCCCACTAAGAAGATATGTAATACAAACATGTGTAAGTAGGGTAATAACATGTCGACAAAGCCACATCATTTTTAAAAAGAATATCAATAAAAGGTAATAAATGCTATCATTACTACCTTAAGTTGAAAATCATGTCAGTTGAATCAGTTTAATATCACTTTTATTATTGCTAATTTATTTTGTAAAATATACTTCATTAGTATTATTACTGCAAATTACTCCTCACTAAATTTAACTAAATTAACACTAATTTAATGAAACTTTGTTCAAAGCTATTAATAAAATAATCATTACAGATATGAAATAATGTGGTTAAAATAATAGATACTCACGGATGCGTTAATGACTCCAACTGGTGTCCATTCTGTTTATTATTTACTGAGTCCTCCATCTTAAATGCTCTTAATTAAAAACTTTTGATATTGAAAAATTTGTACTTTATTCCAATGAAGAATATCGTTCAGGAAACAACGAATTTCATTGCCTGCAATAAAAATAAAATTGTATAAATAATTTAGATAAAAACACAACAATTTTAGAAAAGCGTGCAAAATCTTAACTTTCATGTCGAAACTCATTAAAATATTTGTATCAATTTAGCTTGCCATTAGGCGAATGTACCTGTGGCGTGCCATATATCTCCGACATTCTACATCTATTATTAAAATCAGTTATATTATCGCATGATAACAATTTATATACCTAATTCATGTACGGCTGTGTGTGTAAATATTTGTTCATAGATACAAAATTTACAATGGAATAAAGCAAAAATGAAAATATTGACTTTAGCAGTTTTCTACAGATGAAGTGCGACGCTCTTCGCAATTTGCCTAAGTAATTTGATAATGAAAATTAAAACTTTTTTTATGGCTGCTATGGCAGCTCAGGCAGCTCAGGCAGCTAAAGCAGCTGCTTTTTATTATACAAAATTGTTATAAATTTTTTTCTAAACAAATAAATCAACATTCATGCCAGATTTTATAAAAATGTCAATTACGATTTGCAAAAATATTTGTTTATATAGTATTTGCATAAAAATTAATTTAGATTTAAATATTTGCAAAATTTTTATCTAAATTTAACAATGAAGATTCGAAATTGAGATAAAAATGCGCTGGAGTGCCGAGAAGAAATCATTGGATCCATAGGAGAGATAAAGTTCACATGAAAGTGGGAAATTAAATATTTGCTACTGAAATATTTGATTACAGATTATTAAGAAAATAATAAAATTTGTTAAAATATTTGATTATGAACCAAGAAATGTTAGATTTTGAATCAAATTATTTTTTATTTAAATATTTTGATACATAAATTGATCATTGCATGGCAAAAAGTTTACCTCGGTTCAGGCGATTGACTCATGTGACTTCAGATGTCAAATATAAATGTTAACATCTCCATTTTTAATATCACTACAATTTCATTTATTAATGATAAATCAAAGAATAAACTCAACTTAATCAGTTGCACAAGCAATTATCACTATTTCCTAATAGATGATATATTAAAAGCAGTTTTATCTGCTTTAAGTGATTTCTATTAAAAGACATTTATGCTTATGAGATAAATTATTGACTAATATTATAGCTATTAGCATTTCATTAATTTTTTCGAATTTATTTGATATCGTTTCTTAAAAAAGTATTAAATTTAAATATAAAAACTTTGTTATGAATCAAATTAAATAGTGAAATGATCTGGCACGTAGTCAGAGCATAAAGGCTTAATATATATAATATATATATTTAGTGCTTGCAATCTTGATAAAAAGAAACGAGCTGGATCATCTTCGTTATAGGCGACAACTTAATTGGTCTATAAGAGTTGTTTGACCCGTATAAGGCGTTTAAACATGCTCATGAATGCAAAAGTTGGTTAAACTTTATTGGTAGACATAACTTCTTATTGAGTTTCTCCCCTTTCCTTTATATTACACAGACAATAGTATAATATTTGTTGCGATAATTGGTCTAATTTAGGTCTATTAGGTCTAAATTCACTGACAATATAGATGTATATCTATATTAGATGTCGATGTGGATGCATATTTTCATATATAATATTTTCTATTATATTGTCACGCCCTCTCAAGTCTTAGAATTAAAGTTATAGACTCCGTCATTGTCAGTGACTTAAACATTAACTGAAATATTAAAAATAAATGTTTTCATCTTTCTGAAATGGAGCCGAAATTTTAAATTTAGATCCGAATAACTGCTAAAAGGATAACATAAATGGCTGGAGATCTAACATAATACTTAAATTCCTCTATTATTATACTTTAACTACATTAAATGTTTTACATGGAGATCCTGCCGTATTACATGGTGATCCTGTGGTATTACACTATATATCTTTTTAGAAATCATGCTTATATAGTGTTTTTAGTAAGTTAAAGTTTCAAACAATGACTTTTGATCCTTTCCTCTAACTTAAAAAAACTAATTGTTGAAACAATTCTAACTCTTGAATAAAAAATCTGTAAAAAATCACTTTATGAAAACAAGAAAGGGTCTGTTTTGAACAAAATATTAGGCCTGATAATTGTCGTATACAGCAGGTCCCAAAGTATTTGTTATTACACCTTTAATTTTCTTCTTTAGTTTACGCTTGAAGATTATTTGCATCAATCATCTTCAATGTCAAAATTAAATAGGTAAGCTTAAATATATAGATATTCTATTCATAATCAAGGTATATTTGATTCAGTTCATTTTGTATGGTGTTACTGCGATGGTACCATATGGAACCACTTCATATTAGGTTACCGATAAATCCTACATTTTTTTTTCATATATAGATTAGGAGTTGAAAATCAGCGTATGTCGCAGCGAGTGGATTAAATCTGCAACAAATATTGAAAATATTATGGAAGAACAAAGAGAATTATGCACTTTCTAACTATTGTCTCTAGAGCGAGTGGCAAAATATCTAAAACCAGAATTATACATTAAAGTATCTAAGACTATTTGAAGAGACAAAACGATTATGGAATTAAAAAATTCAATGTCAATTGTGCGTGGGGTTGAATCATTATGATTATTATTTCAGTTTTTTTTACATATCATTTTTTTGTCAAAATAAATGCTCTTACCGCACAATTGACATGAACACACAATGTCAAAAGCATTTTTCTTCCATCAAATCGCAGTGTACATAATTTAATCAAATCTAAGGGAATTAAACGATTACGCGTGTCAATTGCACTTAATTTAAATTGAATTATAGCAACGTCCAGAGCTGTAAAAAGTATTTTCATACACAATTTCAGCATAGATACTCGTTACTTTAATATGCATGAGAGCATATTAATAGCGATTTTAGTCAAAAATTTTGAATTATTTCACTTATGACAAAAGCGTTTTTTTTTCATTTTTTTCATTTTTTTGTTGGAGTTAAGTGGATTTTGGCACTAATACAAGTATCTGTAGATACAAATAGCAGTAGTCATTTAATAAAATAATCTCATTTTGTTCAAAGTGCTGCCGTGTAATTTTTACCGCTGAATATGACAAAATTGGTCACGAATTGCACGAAGTTGAGTAGTTCAAAATATTAAATTAAATATTTGATTTATTTCAGATTTCAGATGTGACTTATTACTTTTTATTACCAGATATTAAATAATTTTGCAATTTTCTAAATTTCACAATGAATTATTCTATTAAGAATGGAAGATTTTTGTCGCTACTTCAACTTTGAAGAAAGTGGAAGACTTCTATTAAGTTAGATATGTGAGTTAAATCCTCTTATCCGTAACCTAATAAATATCAATTATTTTATGTATATTAAACTGCATAGAATACTTCCAGAATAACATATAAATAATAACTTATATGAAATTTGTATCAAAGTATAAAGAATATTAAATGTACTAAGTGCAAAAATTTTTCACAATGAAAACAATAGTATAATACGTTTGTAATCATAAACACAGATTTATAAACCCAAATCAAAGACATATCAAATTTTATTATACGAGTATTTCTTAGAAAAATTCTATATTTTACTTTAAAGACTTCATAAATTTCAAAAAAAATAGTTTTCAAAAATATTGATTTACTGCCCTCACTTTTGCGATTCTTCAAATTTTTATTTGCACTCTCAACCTTCACAAAGCGTTATCGATCTTATCGGCATTTATTAAATTAAACTAATCGAATTTTTATTGTTTTATTATCGCTAAACAATAGGCTTTATCGCTTTAATCTGACTACGCGTTGAAACACAATCCGTCACCTGATGCTCCAACTACAAATGAACCGAGTGGGTCAAAATTTTTTTTTGTTATTGGTACGTGGCTGGCTTCGGTTTGCATTGTGTGTAAACAGTAGTCACTTCCTATTCTAGTTTACAAGATAATGAAACTATGAAACGTATTATCAAAGTTATTAATAAATAAAATTAATTTTATATATAATTTTTATTACCCACTTTAGTTTGAGATTACAAGTGGTCTGGGTACTACAATTTAAGCCAAGAAGGTAATAAACCAATATATTGACGTTAGTGTAAAGATAATAGACTTTTACGACACTAATATAAGCTGTTCTCCAATCAGTGTAAACAATCAATATCAATGAAAAATTTTGTGTTTATTGTTTTTATTTTTGAAGTCATATTTTAGTAATGTTGATAAAATAATCTTATAAACAATTTACTTTCTTCGCAAACTATTTATAACTTTTTTAGAAAAAGTACTTTTACCACATAAAAAGAAATTAAATTCTAATAAAAAATTTAAACACGAATGTAATAGATTAGAGAGAGAGCTGTAGCGAATTCATCGCGCCACTCTCAGAAGGACGCAAAATGATTCCTAATACATTGTATATTTTTCAAAGAATCGCTAGCAAGCTATAGTCCCCCACTGTCAGTTTGGTTCATGAAGCAAATCAGACTATAATACTATGTTAACACTTAGATTTATGGAACTAACTTAGCATAATTTATTCTATTGGATTTTGTATGGATTTTGTATAGATTTTGTATGGATTTTATATGAAAAATGGCATATTTGTCGAGTTAAAGTGCAATAGTCTAAACATCATGATTTTTTTGTCATCAATTTAGAACCCATATGCTTATGAAGAAGAAAAATTGAATTAGTTAAAATAATATAAAACAAAAATAATTTTTGTTGTTGTAATTCACTACTTTTCGAAAACTCTCTACCATACACCTATGAATCCACGAATCCAGAAGCATATTAGTGATAAAAAATTAAAAAAAATGAAATAAAAAATGATTCAAATAAAAAAATATATACATATTTTTAAATAAAAAAGTTTTTATATATAAATATAAATCCATTTTGTAATTATATGCTGATTGTTTTTTGAATCTTTATTATAGATGAATTATGGGCTTAATAGTCAGAGATTTTGGTTTGATTTTTTTAAAAATTTTTTAATGTTTTATTTATCAAGTTATCTATTTGATGTAAGACACACTATAAGCTTAAGCCCCTTATGTATA